TCGCTTGGCGGCTCGCTCGCACTTTGGCTGTGAGCTGCGGGCGCCTGATAAGTCAACATCCCCCACTTTCATCACTTACAGCGCCCAATACAAGGCAAATGAAAAGTGTAACTGGGGTGAAAAGGGTGTTACCTTGACTTAATTATGTATGTTGTTACATCAAGGCTGAAAATTAGGATGAGCCAAACAGTCAAAAATGTTTTTTTCCCTCCCAGAACTACCAGCGCAGCGCCCCCTCCCCCCCCCAGATCTGGCACCCTGGGCGATCGCCTATGTCGCCAGTGCTACGGGCCGGCCCTAATGCTGCATGAAGACGTAGTACACGTTCTCCTGGCGAGACCTCAAATCATCTTACACATCCACTGGACGTAGATTCTAAAAGTACAATATACACTTCTCGCTAGAAATCTAATCAGAAAGCATTTTAATGGCCAAACTATCCCACAATTTAGGATTTTCCAGAGAGGGTTATTTGTGAATAAACGACCCTCCGGAGCGTTTGCAATCAACGGGAGCATGTTATTTCTTACACGACCACTAGAGGTGCTACACTTTAAAACGTGGCTCTGGGTCATAATAAGCTGCTGACCAATAAACCTATTTGGTCGTTTTTCGTTGGTCCTAGAGGACAGGCTGAAAAATACAAGTAGAACAATTGTGGTTTTACCAGCTGGTAGTAAACACTGCACATTTTTCAAGTTTGTGAATGTTTTCTTAATACACATGTCTTGTGAAGTTGGTTTCACACATTTGTGTTTTTATATTTGCCTCGTTTTTGAAAGTGCAGAACGTTTTCCTAATTGAAGTGTTTTGGGCCATTTTGGCGCGTTTGCCAACATAGAAACAAACCGGTATTACGGTTCAAGCACATTTGAGTCTCAGTTCAAGCAGGAGGCTTTGGTTGTAGCACAGAAACAATAACATCCAACAAATAGTTTACATGTCAAACAAGAATATTTCAATCACTTGGGATATTTTCTATATCTTACTGGATTTTGGTCAAGCAATTGATAGCTGTTGTGTCTTTCCTTGTTGGCAGGTACATTTTTTACCGTCATAGTTAGCGAATTTGATAAATGGAAGTTGCAAAAATACCATAAACCTTAATCTGATATAGAAATAACAACTGATTGAGAACCCTTTCTTCCTCTCCCTATTTTTCTGGAGCAAACTTACAAAAGCCTAGTGTTGCTGCCTGATCCGTACTGGAAACCCAACAATCTGATTAGGTCATTTACAAAGCAAGAGAAAAGGTATGTTACATGTAAGGCAAATCTCTCCTTCATCTGCAGAAGAAATGCCTCCTGGTTTGGAGGTGTCCCTAAGCCTCAAGAGGGTGCCAACAGTGGGTGAGAGCATCGTCATGTTTGTAATGGTCAGGAACAACTCGAGCAGCTCCCGGGTTCTGATGGAGCACGTCAACGCTCAGCTGAAGGAGTACAACAGAAACGCACAGGAGAGCTTCTGGAAGTCTCACAAAGAAGAGTGCATAAAGGCGGGGGAAGGTGTGTACTTTTTCTCATGCTAAAGAGGCCCTTTGGGGTTTTCCCTTTCCTGTAGCATTATAAAGGTTGGTGTGCATGTAAATGGTCTGAAGGGGCAAAAATCTGTTTCTCTCCCCCACACTCGACTGAAACGCATCCATTGGACTCCTTTGTTTACTTCTCTAACATAGTGACATCTCTAAATAACACTCAAATCTCTAAACAGTTCACAAAAACCTATATAACACACTACAGGAAAGGGAAAAGGCCAAAAATGCATAAAAGCACCCCTTTAACAATGAATTATAAAGCTGGTAAACAAGAAGCTATACTATCCAATCATATTGTTCCTTTCTAAAAACTACAGGAATATCCACCGTGTTTTTTTTTAAAAAGGTATCAGGCCTTGCTTTTATAATATGGTCTAATTTCTGTTAGGCCAGAAAAGGATAGAGGTTGTTAAGCCAATATTTTTCCAAAAGACAGATATTTTATGTTAAGCTTGAAGAAGGGAAAACACTTTGTTAAAAATGTGTATTTTTTTGTGTGTCCATCTGCAGTTCTGAAGCTGGAACACTCCATCCTTCCCTCTGAGTACGAGTCTGTGCTGGCCGATGATGACATTATGAATGTGGCCGTTGTGATAAAGGACCTCCTGACGAAAGAAAGGTTCCTGGCCACGCAGGAGTTCAACGTAACCTCACCAAAGATAACCGTGGAGGTACAGTACAGCAGCAAACTCCACCCTTCACAAATACACTGTGCTGTGTTCTCTCTATATCTTTTTCTTCTGCAGCGCTCTTTACTATGATATTCTGTATCCTGTTGGTTGCACATGACAAGATTAATGTACGTAAATGAAGAGCATAAACCAAAATGTAACCAACATATGTTACTTTTCTTTAGGCAAACAACCTCCAAGAAATTACAGTTTTCCTTATCAACCAGCGCTTTTAATATAGGTACTTTTGTCAAAGAACAATGTTTTAAAGGTTTTTATTTTTTAATAGATAAGCTAATATTGCCCTTTCGAGCAGAACATAAAAATCCCTATGCTAGGTGGTAGCACTCAGTAGGAATGGTACTCAACTGTAAAGTGTGTATTGCACATGAGCAGCGCTATTGCACGCTATTGAGTTTTTTCGGTGGCTTTAGTGTGCCTTCCCATGTAAATACTTAATTTAAATGCATGTCAAACAAAAAATAGGATCGGTTTTCAATTTATCTCCATCCGAGTCTGAAATCCAAATGTCCCACATCAAACTGTGTTATCATTAAACTGTAGTCAGGGTAAGGGCATAAAAGGGATAAAGGCATGGGTTTGAAAAAGGTCTTTATTCTTTATTTTTGATCCACAATAGCTTCCATAAAGTGTTGTCCAACACTCTTTTTTGGCCCACACAAAATCAAAATAAATAAAAAAAGTAAAGAGCAACAGGTTCCAAACGACCTAACTAACATAAATCAGTATTTGTTGATGGACATTTTGAAAGAAAATGTCCTTATGATCCATCTGACGTTTATGTGGAGGTAGAAGAAGCTTTAGAGAGCCAGTATTAAAGTTTTTCACAAAATAAAAAATGGTATTTTGCCAGAATATCAGGCCCTGTTAGATGATAATCATGTTTTAATCCCACACAACCTTGCAGTGAACTAGTTTCCTGTAATTCGAAAGAACATGTTTTCTATCTGCTGGCAGCAAGAATGCTTTCTGTTTCTGTTGGAACAAAACCTCAACAGGAATGTGAAATGAGAACAATGACCTAAAGAAAAATGTAGTTTGTGCTGATTTAAAGCCAACTCGACCACACCTGCATTCCTTTTTTTGTAAAGAAGTGTAAGTGTTGACCAGCAAAGATTCAAAGGATTTGTTTATGTGTTTATTGATTTCACTATTTAAAGCATAAACACAACAGATAACAAAACAATGGGTTACGTATTGTAACCCTAGTTATATAAGCACTGGCGGAGCCCTCTACTGGCCTCTATGGGTACTGCCCTTGACCTCACTATGCGAGCGTTCACCTACTGAAAAATCTATAAACGTAGCCGGCCCCAGGGGCGGGTCTACCTGAGTGCGCGCGCAGGCCCACAGTATACAAGGCGGCCTCGCCTCCCGACCGTTATCCTACACCCTATTCAGCGAGCGGCATAGGACAGACAGGGCCCCCTAGTAGAGGGCTCCGCCTCTGCTTGTATAACTAGGGTTACAATACGTAACCCATCCTTATATCTCTCACAAGCTCCGCCCTCTACTGGACTCTATGGGTACAGTGGGTGGAGCACTGATGGATACACGCCCTGTCGTCCAACAACCCATCACACTGCCCCTAGCCGGCATTTTTTGGTTAACAGCCACTGCACCGCAACCTCTCCTCCCTCGGTTATGACCGTGGAGGAGCCGGGGCCGCAGTTTACTTGGCTGATAGAGCACACCCAGACACGCTTACCTCGCAAAGGTTGTGCATGGGAAAAATAGTGAGGACGGCTCCCCCTGCCCTAAGGAGCATGGGAAAACACAAGTGCAATATGTTCGGGGGGGGGGGTCAGATATCTACTGAGCCACAAGACAAGGGCTGTGGAAAACCACAGAGTACAGTGGCTGTTTCGTTGGTTGGCGAACAGGTCCACCTCCGCTCTCCCGAACCGGGCCCAGATCTGCTTCACCACCTCCGGGTGAAGCACCCAATTGCCTGGCGGGGGCCCACCTCTTGACATGAGGTCGGCCCTCCGTTCTCCCCAGGTCCCGGGATGTGAGGGCTCTCAGGGACAAAACAATCTCTTGAGGCCCATAACCATGCTGTGGTCAACAAGGGGCGGAGCGGCTCCGCTCTCTGTCCTGTTGATGTACGGCACTGTGGTCCAGTTGTTGCTCCTCACAAGGCAATGTTTGGCCTGTATTACAGGATTTTTAAGTGCTGGAGGGACCAACCCCATGCCGCAGCTCTAGGAGGGTTTTGCGTTGAGTCTCGTCAGAGGCCCGAGTGCCACCTATAGCTCTCTCCAGGCATGGTCCCCCCCCATCTGTCACGGATGGTCTGTGAACACGCGTGATGTAGGAGTCACTCGCCCCGCAGACTTCCCCCTCGGAGATGGGCACTGGGGACCCCCGTACCGGAGTTGCCCACCACTGAGGGGGTGTAGTTACGACGTCGTGGC